GAGCAGAGTCTCGCTGGACAATGTCTATTACTCTGATTTAAATGTTTTATCCATTGGTCAATTTAAAGACATTTCGATTAACGATATATTGAGTAAACCGATAATGATCGATGTCTTGCAAACTTTCGCAGAATGACTGCCCACCAAAATGTCATTTTGCCGACAAGCAGGCAAAAAAGGTTTTTCCCTCAAAATATATTATTTTGTTTTCATCGTACCCGTCTGCCCGAAAAATTTGATGACCTGGATCTGTGCTATATAAATAGTTCACTTTGATTAAGAACCCTCCGGTTTCCTCCCACTGCTAAAGACCCCTACGCGCAAGCGAATTATTGAAATAAAATTAAAAACCATATGTTAGTCCCGAAATGACCTAGTTTGTGTCGAGTGGACGTTAAACCCCATTTCTCTCTCTCTCTCTCTTTGATTAAGAACCCAAGTAAAATCCCACCTTTCCATTCCCGTTCTTTACTTAAAGTGGACAAAATACCTGTATGTTAGTCATAGTCTCGAGCAGTAGGTGCATATACCCCTTCAGACTAGTTACAAGAGATCGAAGGGGGACGGGGTTAACGCTTACTCTGCAGATCAGAAGGCTTTAAACAAATGCAAATCATAGATTCAATCCTGGATCTTACATGCAAAGGAACAAGGCTGTATGCCTAATCCCGTGGATGTTTTCTCTGGAATTCGAGTTTCCTCCTACTGAAATAACGATATGCCATATGTTCGTCTCCGAATGACCCCCCCCCCCCCTTCCCTCTCTTAAATACAAAACAAAATTAATAGACAATGCATGAAACCGAACACCACATAAATTAGATATGAACATGAATGCAAGGATGTTAGCTTCGTGGACGTACCTCGGGAAACATTCGCCGAGTCCGCAGATGAACAGAATAAATAATACTTACACTTTTGAGAGAATTTGTAAAACAAATGCGACCTGGTTTCACCTGGGAGGATATAGACTACACGCCGCTCATTTGTAGGTAAAACGGAGACTAAAACACGACTAGTATATATACCTATATAAATACTCATTCTCTGATCAAATACACCGTTACCAATAAAATCTGTGACATTCCGCTCAGACGTTATTTGTATTCCAGGTGTGTAAAAGTACCTGACAGGCTGTTGATAGTCTGCACGTTACTGACATCTAGATGAACTATATATATTTTGTTGGTTTATAATTCTTTTATTTAATAATTGAGCTGAAAAAACACAGGACACGATTCTATGGAATATTATTACCTGTATTACTGGACGTCGAATCGATTAGGATTGTAGACTCTTTTATCAAGTAAATGATGATCGAAGTAGATTAGAGAAACGTTTTCTTATTTATTAACTGAAATATGATGGGGGTGGGGTCTATAAAAGGGCATTTACAACAGCTTTTATATCTATGTTTTGTTTTTTTCACATGCTTTAGATGACACAGAACATTCGAAATAATAATATTGATGACAATCCAAAATAATTGATTTAACAATTCTACACAAAAAACACCACAATTTACATTCATATTGTGCACGTTCTTAACCGTTCCGTGCTGTGATGGTTTGGCTGTAGGCTTTATAGTAAGGGAGCTAGGTACTGGTTGTTTCAAAAATCGCGCACAATATTCCACCATACCATGCTAGAGGCGTGGACAGCGGTGCCCGGTACTCTGAACCTTGATTATTAAGTTGCGGGTCCCCTTCCCATGGGGGTGGGAGGTCGGACAAAACGTCGATATCTCGAATTTAATTCGATTTTTGCGTACAGCGATCAACTTTCGTGCATAAATCGACCAACCTCAGATGTCATCAATAACACTGCTTAAGAAGACCCCGACATTTCCTTCCTTTTCCATTAAGAACACCCCATTACCTCCCTCAGAGTTGTTGGGGTGCTGTCTGAACTTATAAAAAGTGAATGTAGAAACTAAATCATAAATAGTGGGCACAGTAAATGAGGGTAGTATTAAAGCGAGAATTTCATATTTTCTAAGAAAGTCAAAACATAATTATTTCTATGTCTTTTGCTCAATAGGTTGTCAACTCACTATTATACGATCATAGGTATCATTCTCCTACATATAAATCCTTGACCCCGGAAATAATAACACAATTACCACCCTTGTTTTTCTACCCCCCCCCCCCGGAATAGCTATCTTCAAACATTTGAATTTGAAGTTGAAAATGATATTTTTGCCAATTTCTCAATTGGCAATAGTGAATTATAAGGTTAATAGGATTATTCTGTAACAAGGTAGGACTGTTTATAGATACATCTATTTTAAGGCTTTATTTTAATACATTTTTAAAATAGAACTTAAAAATATGATATAGCAAACTTATCCTAAATAGTGAGTGTCGCATGAACTTTAACAAGAACATTGAGTGTAATATTAACTAATTTTTGTGAGTTTTGTATAAAAATAAATAAAAATAAATTGTTTGTATTTAATATTTTACTATGTAATAAACCTATTCCAAATAATTAATATATCAGGCAAGCCGTGAATTTAATAATTCCTTTTGAAGAGGATGATTTTTTACAACCGTGCCTTTACCCTAGTTGTTAGACGTATACTACGGTGGCTGATAAGGGACATGAAAAATACGGTGGCTGATAAGGGACGTGAAAAATACGGTGGCTGATAAGGGACATGAAAAATAATATTTTTTTTTTTTTTTAATTTTCACCCAAGTCAATTTTGATTTTCACCCAAGTCAATTTTAATATAATTTGTTTTTTGTAATTGTCACCCAAGTCAATTTTAATATAATTTGTTTTTTTTATAATTTTCACCCAAGTCAATTTTAATATAATTTGTTTTTTGTAATTTTCACCCAAGTCAATTTTAATTTCCACCCAAGTCAATTTTAATACAATTTGTTTTTTATAATTTTCACCCAAGTCAATTTTAATATAATTTGTTTTTTATAATTTTCACCCAAGTCAATTTTAATATAATTTGATTTTTATAATTCTATAATTTCCAAAACACTAATGACCTAGTTTATGTCGAGTGAACGTTAAACACACTCTCTCTCTCTCCATTTTGTCCGGCAGTTTCGATCAGATTTTCAGAAAATTCGAACTCAATCATCATTAGGGCGTAAGGGTGATATATTCAAACGTTTTTTTTTTAAAATCGGATACAAATTGTGACCTCTAGAGGGACCACAAGCTAAAAACGAGATTTTTCGTACAATCAAGGGTCGTAATTCAGAAAGTTAAGATCCGATTAGCGCGAATATCGAAAGAAAGCAGACGATAATTGTGACCTCTAGAGTGTCCACACACTAAAAGAAGTGACAATCAGGGGCCATAATTCATGAAGTTTCAATCCGATACATGCCAATATCGTAAGGAACCTAGATCTTTTGGGGATAAACCTATATTTCAAGTCTCGTCAAAACCGGATAAGAATTGTGACCTGTATAGTGTCCACAAACAAATTATAGATGGACGTCCGGACGGACAGGGGTGACGACAATATACGTCCATATGAAAATGTGGGCGTATAAAAATATCTATTTGATATAAGGTAAAACATAATACATTGCAATCTGCTAATTACAGTATGAGAACCATATAAGATAAAACATAATACATTACAATGGAAACGAGGCTAATTGAGATGACGTCACGCGCTGGGTGGAAATTCTTGGGTGAAAATTATAAAAATCAAATTATATTAAAATTGACTTGGGTGAAAATTATAAAAAACAAATTGACTTGGGTGAAAATTATAAAAAAACAAATTATATTAAAATTGACTTGGGTGGAAATTAAAATTGACTTGGGTGAACATTATAAAAAAATAAATTATATTAAAATTGACTTGGGTGAAAATTTTAAAAAACAAATTATATTAAAATTGACTTGGGTGAAAATTAAAATTGACTTGGGTGAAAATTATAAAAAACAAATTATATTATTTTTCATGTCCCTTATCAGCCACCGTACTATACGCCTAGGAGGGCGACTATTACAGTAAAAAAAATATTCCCTGCTCTCTCAATCCAGATCTGTAATAGGCAAAGTCAAATTCCGCTTTAAAATAAAACTCAACATTTTTATTGCATACGTTGAACAGAATGACTTTCCCTCTAAAATAAAACATCACTTACTCTAGATATCTATTGAATCCGTTTCCCCTAAACCGAATTTCAATGCACCGTTGGAAAGAGTGACCTCCCCCTACAAAACATACGGACAAAGTTATTTTTAGTCTTTCTCTCCCTTTTTCCCCCTTTTGCATGGCGATTTTTGTAGATTTTTTGGTGTAGAATCGAAGAGAAGGGTTTGAAAATACGTTTTCTACCAGGTTTTGGTGAATATTCATGATTTTGAGGCGGAAGGATACAAGAATTGAGAGGTTTGTTAGGTTGAAATGTAGGGTCATCAAATCACCAGGTATCAATACTTTCAGATATATATATGTTTAGAAATCGCCTTGGCAACCGTCTGTGATCGTGAGATTTATTTCCAGTTTGACTTAATTTGACAAAACAGCTTAATGGGGCGTAAGCGCTATATAAATCGAACAATAATAATAATGTTCAAGTTAGACTGTGGACAAATCGGAGACATATCTGTCAATACATTTTACGATTCAATTTACTACTGTACACATTTCATACAACCCAGCGATGGTCTGTTGTCTGGTAGACTAAAAAAAACCCACTTTCCAGATGCGGTATTGTGTGATATCAATCAAAACGATTAAGAAGCAACAATTTATTTTTCTGTTGTTAAATCCATGTTATAAAAGAAACAAATAAGTTAACAATTTTACAAACATAACAAAGATTAATTAGGCCACACAAGGTGAATAATATCAAAAACAGAGATTGTCTCATTTAATATGGTTCAAAGCTATAACAGGGACACCGACACAAGAATATTCAAAGGAAATACTTCAAGCAATAAGCTCACTGTGATATAACCTAGTACCCTCTTACATCGCTCCTTGCAGAACAGTAGTTCTGTGGGATTGTATCAAAGTCCAAATCAGGAATGTTTTGATTGAAACACTGCCCTCAGTAAATATTTAATTATTCTACACTGCACATAAATGGACTATTAGGTATATTTTTGTCAGCCCATTTAACTGATATAACATATTGTCCCGGTATTGAGACTTGGTAGGTTATTTCATATATATCACTTCCGGTGTAGTTGACTGCCGTCTCTACCACACAGTGTGGCCGTGGTCCATACATACCCACCGTTAAACAACCATTATCCGATCGTTCAGCATAAACCTGAAATACAATCAATTACTGCTTATTAATATATAGAGCTATAAATAAACCTAGCATCCTGCTAATGACTTGATGTACAAATGTTACTGTGTATTTTAATGGGCGTATTATCTTTAATAAATCTGTAACTTAAACCCCAATATACCAGATTAAAGCCTATATATTAAGTTCTTCCATGGACCTTATAATGGTCCATAGAAAAAAATAAATACATTGATGGTTCATTATGTAAGATTTAGATACATTATGTTATAATAGTTCAAAAAAGATAATGAAAATGAATATATTGAAGTTAGTCTAGACTGTCAAGTACCATTGCTACGATAACAAACCAATTCTCCATTTTAACGTTATATGGCCTGGTATTCTAATCCATTCAGTATCTCGGCCATCCGATCATCTAGGAGTTAATTATGGGCTTGTCATGTGAATAAAACCATATGTTAGTTCCGAAATGACCTAGTTTGTGTCGAGTGGACGTTAAACCCCATCTCTCCCTCTCTCTCTCTCGCTCTCTTCTCTCTCTCTCTCTCTCTCTCTCTCTCTCTCTCTCTCGGGAATACAGGCAAGTTAAATATCATACACTATTCATTATCATCCCAACAATGTCACGTAGATAGCATGAATGTACATATACATACATTAAAGGGCCATTAGGTATGAGCAGATAAGAAGCTGTGAGTTCTCGCTATAATAGTTGAAAAATAGATAATGAAAAAAGAATATGCTAAAAATGTTAGTCAAATGGCTTCACTCTGAACCTGGTATTAGCCATTTCAATTTTTGGCTAGCATCAGTCGTCATTACCACCGTTGGTACAATAATAAACAAATTCGCGATTATCCATTTTAACGTTAAATCATCCATCAAAAAAACGTATTCAAATCCACTTAATATCGCAGGCATCGAGAGTTGATTATTGTCTGGAGAAGTTAATTAATGTCTAATTAATAATTTAGATAATATTTCAGGCCCAAAGAAAGACCTGCAATAGGCAGATTTAGCAAATGTCCGCCAAGTGGCGATTTGGTGTAAAGTCTTTTATTTTTCATACGCCCGCATTTTCACGTATATTGTCGTCGCCCCTGTCCGTCCGTCCACAATTGCTTGCGAACACTCTAGAGGTCACAATTTTTATCTGATTTCAACGGAACTTGAAATATAGGTTTATCACCCTAAGATGTCGGTTCCTTTCGATATTGGCATGTATTGGACTGTAACTTCATGGATTATGGCCTTGGGGTGTACGAAAAATCACGTTTTTAGCTTGTGAACACTGTAGAGGTCACAATTTTTATTCGATTTGGTTCAAACTTGAAATATATGTTTATAACCCAAAGATCTCAGTTCCTTTCGATATTCGCGCATATCGGACCGTAACTTCCTGAGTTATGGCCCCTGAGTGTACGAAAAATCACGTTTTTAGCTTGTGGACCCTATAGAGGTCATAATTTTTTTTATCTGATTTAAAAAACTGTTTTAATATATCACCGTTACACCCTAAGGATGGCTGAGCTCGAATTTCGTGAAAATCGGACCAAAAATGACTGACAAAATAGCCGCCCATCGTTCTCAAATAGCGTAAAAAATATGGTATATCAAGGTTGTGGAATCTATAGAGGTCACAATTTTTATCCGATTTTGTTGAAACTTGAAATGTAAGTTTATAACCCAAAGATCTCAGTTCCTTTCGATATTCGCGCATATCGGACCGTAACTTCCTGATTTATGGACCCTGATTGTACGAAAAATCACGTTTTTAGATTGTGGACCCTATAGAGGTTATAATTTTTTTTATCTGATTTAAAAAACCGTTTGAATATATCACCGTTACACCGTAATGAAGATTGAGTTCGAATTTCGTGAAAATCGAACCAAACTGCCAGACAAAATGGCCGCCCCTTGTACGCAAATAGTGTAAACATCTGGTATATTAAGGTTGTGGACCCTCTGGAGGTCACAATTTTGTGCAATCTGGTTAAAACACAGATCCTATTTCGTTTCGTTTTTATAGTTCAAAATTTCGTTTTACTTGTCTTTACTACACTTGGATCTGGAAGAGTTGTTATTTAACTCGTATTCTGAATGGTGTCAGGGATAAGCCAATGAAACGGTCTGTTACGGCGAGCTTTAGGCGTGTTTTTCACGGAACTGTGGGTAATCCACTAGTAACATCAATGCTGATTGGTTAATCAAATGTCTGACGTCAAAGGGTCATAAGTCGGTCTTTTGACCCCTGACGTGACCTATCGCTATAACTTGTCAGATCTTCATGTAGTGTAGGCCATCGACAGTATAAAAAAACGAAACGAAATATAGATCTGTAATTTAATCAGATTGCAATTTTGTGCCGATTTTGATGAAACTTGAAATGTATGTTTATAACCCAAAGATCTTGGTTGCTTTCGATATTCCCTCATATCGTATCGTAACTTCCTGAATTTTGTACGAAAAATCTTGTTTTTAGGTTGTGGTCCCTCTAGAGGTCACAATTATTAACCGATTTAAAAAAAAAACGTTCCAATATATCACAGTTACACCATTATGATGGCCGAGTTCGAATTTCGTGGAAATCGGACCAAAACTGCCGGACAAAATGGCCGCCTCTTGCACGCAAATAGTGTAAATATATGGTATATCCGATTTTGATGAAACTTGAAATACATATTTATAACCCAAAGATCTTGGTTCCTTTCGATATTCGCACATATTGGATGATAACTTCCTGAATTATGAATCTTGATTGCACGAAAAGTCGCGTTTTTAGGATGTGATCCCTCTAGATGTCACAATTTTTATCCGATTTACAAAAACGTTAGAACATATCACTGATACACCCTTATGATTGTTGAGTCCGAATTTCGTACAAATCGAATCAAAACTGCCGGACAAAATGGTTTCGACTCGTACGCAAATATTGTAAATATATGGTATATCAAGGTTTTGGAACCTCTAAATTAAGAGAGGACACAATTTTGATCCGATTTTGATCAAAATTGAAATACATGTTTATAACCCACAGATCTTGGTTCCTTTCAATATTCATGCATATAGGATCGTAACTTCCTGAATTATGGCCCTTGATTGTACGAAAAAGCACTTCTTTCTTGAGCTTGTTCTCTGTCCATCTCTTGCAAAATGTAGGCTTTAATTGCATGGCAATCGCTTGTATAATTATGTTGAAGGTTTTGAATTGTCTGTTTTCTTGCATCTGAATGTAAGGGTCATACGAGTAAATAATGTTCTGGATCTTCGAAGTTGTGACCGCTAATGCTAAAAACAAGCTAAAAAATCGGATTATCTGAAATGCGCGAATATCGAAGGGAACTGAGATCTTTGGGATTTAAAGGTATATTTTAAATATCATCAAAATCCGACAAAGATTGCGACTTCTAGAAGGCGTTTTGATTTTCCTGAAATTCGAACTCAACCTTCATTACGGTGCAACGGTGATATATTTAAACAGTTTTTACAATCGGATAAAATTGTGGCCTCTAGAGGTTCCACAAGCTAAAAAATGTGATTTTTCAGGGCCTTAATCCACGAAGTTATGGTCTTATGTGCGCGAATATCGACAGGAACCGAGATCTTAGGGATATAAACATATATTTTACGTTTTATCAAAATCGGATAAAAATTCTGACGTCTAAAGGTTCCACAACCTTGGTATTACATATATTTACACAATTTGCGTTCAAGGAACGGCCATTTTGTTGGGCAGTTTCGGTCCGAACTCAACCATCACCAGGGTGTAACGATGATATATTTAAACGCTTTTTATAATTTTGATCCAATTTTTTCGTACAATCAGGGGCGATAATCCAAGAAGTTACGGTCCGATATGCGCGAACATCGAAAGGAAACGCGGTCTTTGTGATATAAACACATTTTTTAAGTTTCATCAAAATTGGATCGAAATTGTGACCTCTAGAGGGTCCACAACCTTGATATTAAATACGTTAACACTTTAACAGGGGCCGATTTTCACGAAATTCGAACTCAATCGTCATTATGGTGTAACGTTGATATATTCAAACGTTTTTTTTAAAATTGGTTAAAAATTGTGATCTCTAGAGAGACCACTAGCTAAAAACGGGATCGTTCGTACAATAAGGGGCCATAATACAGGAAGTTACGGCCCGATATATGAGCGAAGATCTGTAGGTTATATACATTCATTTCAAGTTTAATCAAAATCGGATACGAATTGTGACTCCAGAGTGTCAACAAGCTAAAAACGAAATTTTTCGTACAATCAGGGGCCATAATCCATGAAGTTACGGCCCGATACATGCAAATACCGAGATCTCTGGGAGATAAACCTATATTTCAAGTTTCGTTAAAATCGGATAAAATCGGGCCTGCAGATTGTTCACAAGCAAATTGTGGACGGACGGGCAGGGGCGACGACAATTATACGTCCTACGTCCACATAAAATTATGGGCGCATAAAAACGACCAGTCGTCTGTTGCATGGCTCAACAAAACATAAGTTCTGAGATAAATACACTTATTTTCCATGAAGTTCAAAAATTTATTCATTTATCATAAAGATTTAAATCACAATAAAACAATTCTTACATTATTTCCAGCCCTGCACACAGTACAATCATCTAATTTGTTATCTAATAATATCATCGCCTCTCACGACTCGTTTGTGGGGTTTGGAGGTATTGGACGAGTGTCCCTTGTGCAGGCCCTACCATACCCAACATTACCAAACAGTTCTTTCAAAATAGATTGCTACCTACTAAAGTATTTTTTTAAAATAATGTCTTTATATTATCAATTATGTATCCTATATACCTACTAAAGTATTTATATTTTTAAAATGATGTCTTTATATTATCCATTATGTATCCTAGATGTTCTATATTTATGTAATTATGTATGTATATACATGTATTTATAATATATACATGTTTTTAAACAGGAGTGATGGGTTACACATAGGCATAGCTTGTTCCCCAATCCAAATTCAGATTTAATGAATAAAAATATTGTTTATAAAAAAAAAAACCCAACATAACATCGGTTCGATTTCGATTAATCAATGTAATTATGACCACCACACCCACCCCATTAAAGTCGATATATAAGTTGGGCTGTAAAATATCTACTTGGATTTGACGTGGATTTCCATTTATCTAATCTCTTATTAGAATTGTTTCATTTGAGATTATGACACGATGAAATAACATACAATATTCATTATATCGTACAATATTCATTAAGAACCTTATTGTGCCAAATACACGACCACCACACTAACTTCATGCTTCAGGTCTTAAACACGAAAACAATGTTAGCAGCTTTTTAGCTAGTAATGTAGGAAATATATCAAATGACATTATAAACCGTCACCATAGTAACAGTATTGGAATATCGAGTTGCAAATAAGGTGGATTTAGATTACATATTCTTATTAGGTTGTCACAACACGCATTTAATAAATGGTCTCGTAGAATTAATGAAGAATATAACTAACTAACTACTTATTTACTAAATGACGTAATAAATCTCTGAGATAGAAAAAAAGGGGTCGAAATTTACTAAACATTAAAAATGAAAATTGTTAAAAATAGTTGTAGAACGATTAACCACAATAACTTGCTGCTTATGAAACTTGTGGGTGATTTTAGAAACAGAACCTACTTGGTGAAAGGTGAATTCGGAACACGGGAAGCAGAGTGCTAACAGAAGGGGTAGCCGAATGGTTTAACAACGCGTGCACTTTAAATTGTATGGTCTAACGTCGACTGACGTGTCGTGTTTTATATCGCAAGGAGTAGGACTGACCCCCTTATTCTGATTTTATTTTTAAAGACCCTTGCATGCATGCCAATTATTGAAGCACAGAATCTATTTCAATACGAAACATAAGTAAGTTTTACCTGAAAGTGATTTTTCACGTCGACGGCACCAAATAATAAACCAGATCCAAAAGCATAGATATTCTCAGCACTGAACTGGATCAAGGCACTAGGGACTACTTCGATTGGACTCTTCTGAGATAAGAGATGTGAATTATTGTCTATGAACTCTTTAATAAAGACTTCACTGCTCTGACCATTATCACTATCAAATGGGTTATCACTATCTGATAACATATTGGTTATCTCATACGGATCTGGAATAAATCTATCCAAGTCAGATTTTGAAGTCACCCGCTCAACCTCTTTGTCGCAAGCCCTGACCTCTTCCCCAAAATTTGGACTCGCGTCCCGTGATATACTTTGAGATTGGTCACAGGAACTTACATTAAGATTCTGAAAATTAGCCAGGTTTCCGAGAAAATCTTTTCGTTGACTCTTGGATAATCCAAATCCACAATAACTATCATCTGAGCTACACGACACGGTTCTTTTACATGGAGATAGACGGTCCATACTTATTTCTTCCCCCTTGCTGACTGTCGAAAGGCGAACATTTTGTTCTGGAGATAGTTGATCAGATGGTTTGCTGCTCATAGGACTGTTAAAAAAGCAGTCGCCATCATTAACTGTCAAGGTTCTAAATTTGAACCGCTTTCCTTGCAAAGAGATATTCATGCCGAGATTATCAAAAGCTTTAACACTGCCAGAACTGGAGTTACTTGATATTTGACGTTGCATACGTTGATGTTTGAAGATTCTTCGTCGCTCATAACTGTTGAGGCATGAGACTTCTGAATCGGATAAACTGCCTTCCTCGGTGATGCCAGGCGACGAGACAACTTCAGGAGAATCTGTGTCGGATCCTTGGGATAGTATATGTTGTATGCTTCGGTTAACAGCAGCATGTATATATTTAGACATTCGGAATCTGCCTTCTTCTTCATCTGGTGACATCGAGCTGCAGCTACTGCCTTTAGTCAAGTCTGGGTCCAAGTTGATCTCCCAGGGATATGTATGTCGCGACAGCCGTCTGTGTCCGTTGATCACCCCACCAGCACTAATTTCTCTTTGACTGTCGTCGATACCGCTATCAATTGTTTCCACTGTGGATTGTCGAGACCGGTTTTCACCAATGTCTAGACTGGGATTTTCTATGTTGCTAATCTCGCACAATTCATTTTGATGCATTACTCGTCCAAAATCAGTTGTATCCTCAAACACTGGACGAAAGAATGAATGGTGACTGTTCACGAGAAGTTGTTGCAACGCTGCTAATTTGCGATTTGTGTTTTCGTTTGATCCCGTCGTCGCTGTGGATATTTCCGAAGAATTATCCAAGTTTCTTCGGTGGAGAGTATAAATTCTGGAATTCCACCCAGTTTCAGCTTTTATTTCATCATATTTTACTTGTGTAGATTTGTCTACTTTTATTCTAGACCGAACTAAACTTACTGGGTCACAGCTTGATTCTTTTGATGTGTTATCGGATAATGTCGGGGAACAATGTAACGTAGCCTGTCGGAGTAAATTACTCCGTCTCTGTTTAGAAGTAGTATTAGAGGACTTTCTTAAGTAGTTTTCATTATCATCGTTACTCCCGTACTCCATGGCGTCTGCATCTCCTGAATCAGAAGATCCTGTAGCGTTTTTTGTTGTGGAATTAATTTCGGTCAATTCTAAATCGGCATCCTGATGATCGGATACCTCGTCAGTATTATCCGAATTAATGGACCCTGGTCGACTAATATCCAATGAATTGAAATTAAAACCCGGTGAATCATTGTTATCGGTCTCTGATGTCGAATTGAAACTTTGCGAGAAAGCCTTGTTACTTATGTAAAAACAGGCTTTCTGCAAACTAGCTGATTTCAAAGTCGTTATCTTTGAAGAATGTACATTTCTTGAGTGGTCATGCATTACTGATTTGCTTTTAAAGAACCCGTGTCCAGGCGATCGTTGAATAACGTCATCTGACATAGTTCTCTTTGCTGGCAGTTTTGGGTTAGGGATATCCCACGTAAAAACATCATCTTCGTCATTGGTATTCTTAACATCATTAAGGTCATCTTCAGCACAGGTCTCTTCATCAGCTGAATCGACGGGATCTCTATTCTCATAACTCTGTGGTGTTTGTGGGAATTTGAAGTCATCTGGAGTGTCTTTTGTTGTGTCATCAACAAGTGAGCGATTCAGGTCCATCTTAGGAGTAGCGTGAAGATCATCAATGATGATTTTATATTTTGGTTCTGGATAATCCGGTGAATCAAAACCTTCTGTATCTCTCCTCTCTATTCCAGACTCATCGGTGTATATGACTTCCGTTCTACAGGGAGTTAAAGGCCGCAGTCGGCGCTTTTGTGGCGGACTGTCAGTTTTAGATCTACCGTCCTCTGGGTTCGAATTTAAGCTAACTGGGATGATAGGTCTGGGAAGTAAGGCGGCCATTCTAGTTTGGGAACCATGGTCCGTTGCAGACCCTTTTGTTAAATCAAGCGGGGAAAGTCGTTTGGCACCTTCATCCTCAGATATGTCTGATATATCGGCACTGCTTTGTCGCGACAGAGTAGGTGACACGGCGGCGTCGTGTAGGACAATTTCTTCGCCATTTCTGGTGATGATTCTTTTCAAAACTCGTCTTCGCATTATCGTCAATTGCTTCGAAACACCCGCTATCTTGCTTATCGAGTTTTTGGAATTATGTCGATCGCTGTTGGTTTTATGGGCACGCTGACGATTCCGCTGGGTTTGACTCTCATCAATAGCAGACAGCATATCAAAAGGGACGTGTTTTACTGTAGAGACACGGTTCCAGGAACTACTCCAATCGTTCACTTTAACTTCAAAAGGGCTTCCTTCAATGTTGCGACATTCTGACTTAATATTTATTACATAAATGCCGACTGAACTTGGTATATAAGTCACTTGAAAACGACCCTCCCCTACGCATTGGCAGTCAAATGGAATGACGTCTTGGACATCTTCCTCTAGGGTCTTCTGACGCACGAAGACATTTCCTAACGTGTCTTTGATATATTTAGTTCTGTGACTATCAGAGGTTTTGATGACCTGCTGACCGTCTGTTTGATTATCGTTTAAACCTGATAAACGAACCCCCGAAACAATACTCACAATCTTTTCACTGTTCATTTCGTTGTTAGGACCACGGACGTCAATATGGAGATTCATAATGGTGCCGACTGTTGTGAGAATGTGGAATTTAGCCTTTCGACCAACTATACCCTTTTTGAGGCCAGTGCCCCGTGCTGTAACCTCACCCAACAATTTATTCGCCATGGACTGGGTGGAGTTGATAATCAAGGCTGAACAAGAACCATTGTTTTTGGTGGTGTTGCTCTTCCATTTGATCATCTGGACCATATGGACGATCTTCTGCCCTGTGTCCTCATCAGCTATCGCCATTTCCTCGGGAGTTATTGACATCTGTAATGTAAAAAGCGTGTTGCCAATGACATTTGATAGAAAGGAGTTCAACTTTTATAAGTAATATTACAAATTATTGTCTAATTCATAAGTGTATCAGAAAATTGAAAATTATGGCTAAAATTTACAAATTTCTTTTCTGTTGGGTTTACGAGTAGAATATGATTAACTACAAGAACAATCACTGGCAGAACACGGCTGTCACAGTCTCGTCAGTTAAATTATAACCAAGCATAACACTATAAACGAAACGAAATAGTAATCTAATTCAAATTCAATATTGAGGATACACAGTGTCATTTATATTCAGGGACACGTAACCCATTTTAATAACAGTTTGTTATCGGTTAGACAAATTTTAATAACAATTCGTTATCGTTTAGACGATTCTATACAAACTAACTAATTATTCAGGTGCTTGATGAATTGTCAACAAAGATAAAGCACAACCATACTCCTCGCAGTGTTTTGTTTGATTATACCCAATCCCACTAAACACTTCTTTAACGAAAGAGCTTTAACGAAAACAAATTTCTGTTCCAAATTATGACTGGTCAATGGTCCGATTAACAACCAATCCCATGCGTTAGAAATGTGATTAGCCGCCCTCCTAGGTGCCCATATAATTATACTGTGTTGAAATCCAGGGTAGTGTCTGTGTATCTGACCAATCCGATAAAGGAAGTACCTGGTCAATTTCCCGGGGCTCAATACTGACTCCTGCATGTATCATCTTTATATAAGAAAGAGCGAGTTTAATTTCACTTGTTGAGAGGCTGGAAGATAAACGTCGTTCGGAGCTCTGGGGGAACGCCGTAGCCTCCTCGGCTGAGAGGCTGGGATAGAGACAATGTAGTATTTAAACCGTTAGGTCTGAGTTGTAAAGGATGCTAAACTCAGACCGTAGATATTTTAATAACTCGAAAAGTACTATCATAGATATTGTAGTTTCCTGTATTTAACCTTTATAGTTTGCTGTATTTGTTATATAAATTTAAACAGGGTTTCAGACTTAATTGATCATTGGAAATAGTTATAACAACGTGAAGTCGAAGGAAGTCCTAGATGATACTGTCACAGCCATTTTTATTTGTTGTCGTGACCAGGATAGTCACATCTGTCCCCGAAGTGTCACAACTGTCCAAAGTTTTAGGGAAGACCCAGAATAAACGAAGGGCTGTCATGTTGCTGTACTTGGGAAAGATTTGGTGAAACGGGAAAAATAGACAAACTCCCTCAAAAGCTCAAGTATCAGAAGCCAATCCAGCAATGGCCAGAGAGGGATTTCTCGGACCATTGCTTCGGGAATATGAAGCACAACCTGTGTTGCTTTTAATGTTTGGATATTCAAATAGGTCAATTGGAACCTATTAAGTTATTAGAATTCAAAGCTTACATTGATTTCTATTTAGTTCATACCATTTTAATGTTTACATTGGTTTTATATTGATTTCAAACCGTCAAAGTAATAACAATTCTGATATACGTTTCGAACAACCCAGCCCATTGTTCTTGGAGTTCATTTTATGTTCAAATGAAACCAAAAGCAATTGACCTTTAAAAGAAATTTGATCTTGTAAGAACTCTTAAATCAAGATTATCCAGCCAGGTTAGCATATGCGGACAGTCTGCGTTGGTAGGCAGTGGACGTTAGTTGGCATTGGTAGGAGGGAATGTTTGAGCTTGGGTAGAAAATAACGCCATGTACATCCAGGAGCGGATCCAGGAATCCAGCATCCTGTTTAATGTCAATCTTTATATGAATAATAGAATCACATTTCATTGATGCAAAGCATTAATTGTGATATCACACATATCATTATTTCGCGCTTTGAATGCCAATCCCATCCCACAATCTGATGGTAAAGGATAAAGCATACGACCGTTACACTTTTCTCATAAAGTGTTGTTTTAGAATTGTTTTTATATAGCTGAGTAGGGTGGGGTTTGGACCCCACCCCACCCCTAGATCCGCCCCTGACATCTCCCGTTTGAAAAGGGTGATTTTCTGTCCCTGCAGCCCTGAACGTTAATATTGAAAGCCCTACACCTGAGAGCCAGTCATCAGAATGAATAAAGAGAATAATTAAACTATCAACATTACCTTTTTCAAACCAAGAAATCTCTGTGTGAGTTTTATTCCCAGTCTACAATTGTTTACTCTGTGATGCGGTTTGAGTAAGTCAAAACGAGGACAAGCGCCATTCGAGACGTGTTCTAATAAGGCACACAGGGTTATTCCATCTTGCCATGATGTTGTAAAATCAACCACTGAAAACTTCGTTAAATTAGTCTGCACCCATTTTAGTAGTTTTATTTTTCTTTGTGTGTCTGTAATAGGAATAATAGAAATGATAATGGCACTGTAGACTGTAGTAAAACTGTCCATGGACAAGGAGAGTTCGATAAATAATTTACTGTTTCAGAGTGGAAGAAGTCTAATTAGGAATTAAATATATACAAATTATTCAATTAGTTTTAAATATTCTTCTATAGTCCTATGTTATTCCTGAGTCTATTTATCTTCATGATACGCTACTTATGTGATCGGGTTTTTTGTCATAGACTGGGTCGAAGAAGCATATATTATTGACATCTCAAACATGTCACTTATTGGCGAGACCTGCTGATTCAAGAATGTAATAGGTCACTAATTTCCTTAGCAACGGAGACTAGTCTTCTGTCAATATAAAATCAACCAATGGTATACTTTCGACCAGATCGGAACGATTAATCCTACCACAGCAAAAACGGTACAGTCCTTACTGTGGTATGATACAGTAGAAACGTAAAACAAATAGTGTGACACTATCCTGTGTCGCGGTACCAAATAATACGGTTGTGGCACTACGGGATGCAGATGTGTGACAATGTGACATTATCGTCTAGGACCTGCTTCGACTTCACGTTATGAGATCAATTATTTCAATCATCAATTAACAGACTCTGGAACACCGTTTATGTTGTTACTAAGTTTATATAATTAAATACATACAGCAAACTACAAAGTTATGATAGTACTTTTCGAGTTATTAAAATATCCACGGTCTGAGTTTAATATCCTTTCTGACTCAGACCAGAACGGCTTAAACGTGGCAAGAGCCACATACTTCTTGCTAGTTCTACATAAGGTTCGCGCTAGGATGATGTGTTTACCTTAGCCTCTAAGCCGAGGAGGCTATAGGTATGGTGATCTCGCGAGCTCCAAAAGATTGTCTGAGGGTAAATCAAACTCGCTCTTTCTTATATAGAAAATGTAATGCGTCATCTATAAGGGCGGGACAATTACCATTTTTGGGTAAGTGTTTCACATAGGCACCGTTTAATGTCAACATTATTCTAGTTAATTGTAGTAATCTGTGCACGAGATGACTGGACGATAGTACCCTACTTTCCAGAAATGGATACTGACATAAATGTCTGTGAGTTAGTCTAAGGTAGTAGCAGAGTAATGCAAGCTAGTTTTCGTCCCACATCATGTAGGTAAAGATTCTATATTAAACAGAACACTTTTCTTAGGCCTAAAATAACCCCAAAGTGTTATAATAGTAGTACGACACGAAATATTTTATAAAAATGAGAAGTCTATCGTAGACATGTTGTAGAAAGTTTGAAAAAATCCACCCCAACTTACCGGACTGAAAAAAGCCAGCAACCCTCTCCTGGAAACTTGGTGCTATATCCGGAATGTCGATAGAGTAAAGTTGTTTTTGTCGACGCTGTATAAAACTCAATGGATTCAGCTGCCAAAGTCGGATTAAACTCTTCGTTAGCCACAAGACTGCCGATTGAAGTGTCAGCCAAATTTCAATAAATCTGACATCTGAAAGGAGACGAAATTAAGTAAAAGACAATATGCGTATTTGATAGGTACCGATATGTAGATTTCAATGAGAAAGATCCTCTGACGAAACATAACATGGAGACTGGTTGTGTCATAAGAAATCTCTCAAGAAAGGTGCTTAAAAAAAATTAAAAACGAGTTTAAAATTGATACTGCAAAATGGCTGCAACTAGTGATGTGTTTCTGAGATAAAATCACTCTTCTCTCGAAAGTTCATCGACATTGATGAACAATGATTACAGAAATATCTTGATTCGTTATGCCATTTAACTTTTTTTGATTGGTTGTGTGTTTTGTTGTATACCTAAAGAATAGCAGCATTTTACTAAAAGAACTCTGTAAGACTCAGTAATACTTAGT